CTAATTCTGTTTAAATAGGGAATAAGTGTGATATTTTTAAGGAGACATTTTAGTTTAAATCCAATCAGGCAAATGGAAATTCGCTAAGTCTGCAGGTTTGCTGCGGCGGGGTATTTTATTTTTTATTTTTACTATCATAACCAGTGCACCGAATTTTAGAATAGTTATGTGTTTCAGTCAATAAAGAGCTAAAACATCTTCAATAAATTTTGGCCATGAAATATTCTTAAGAGTAGTTTTAGCGAATTTCCCATATAGGGAATAAGCTATTACCGTAGTACTCACGGTAAGACCTGGACCCGGGACCGATTTTTTTTTCCGTTTTGATGTCCCTAGAGGTCAAAAACACCATCCGTTCAAATTCATATATATATATATATATATGTGTGTGTCCGTTAGCGCGATAACTCGAGCAAAAATGATCCGATTTTGATGAAATTTTGTACAAACGTGTAAACCTACGTTCATTCGAACGAGTTCGCGAACCAGCATGATCGGACCATGGGAATGGGGGTTTTTATGGGGTAAAAATGGGTTTTTCCCATTTTTGACCCAAAAAACATAAAATTTTGCAATTTCTTTCAAAACTATTTTGTAGAGCTTAAAAAACAAATAATTTAGTATATTGAAGCGTTATAATGCGCCTAATGGTTACGGAGAAAATTCCAAAAAATTGTAAATTTAAAATTCCCATGTTATTCTTATGGAGAATAAGTAAACTGTTGTAGTTTGCTTGTTTATAAACATATTTTGCCAAAATTTGGAAAATGTTTTTATTTCTTACTAACTATTAACATTTTACATAAAAAACACTTTTACCCTCCCTGTTGCAGCAAACCTAAGTATGTTTTAAACTGATTCTATTTAAATAGGGAATAAATGTGATATTTTCAAGGAGACATTTTAGTGTAAATCCATTCAGGGAAATGGAAATTCGCTTAGTCTGCAGGTTTGCTGCGGCGGGGGTATTTATTTAATTACTAAGGAATCTTGCATTTTAAAAACCATAAATTTATCACTAGCCAAATTATGAGATGAATGATGGTAACAACGTATTGTAAAGTACACTTTTATCAATAAAACTACAGCTATTACATGGAATTGTGCAATTCAAGAGGACAATTCAAGAGTCAGATCCAATACGTTATCTAATATTTCACGATAAACCCAAAAATATATTTTTTGACATTATTGGACGATCAAACGGTTAATTACACCAAACATTTCAGTCACCACACAAATTACTAATGTAGTGCATTGTGTTCGTCGTTAGGATGGAATTACAAATTAAGTGACACAACTTAAGAAAGTGAGTTTTAAATAACCTAATACACGAATATTAAAAATCAATGCCTTTCTCGAAGATTTACAGAAATTTACAGTCAAATATATAAAACATTATTGTGTCAACCACTCAAACTACCCTTCCAGCTGCAAACCTGCCCTAATGGTGCATTACGTTAGCATAATATGGCTCCATAGAATTACAAATCAACTGACACCGCTAAATTCAAATAAGCAAATATTTAAAAAAAACTTCCAAAAATCATTTCCTTCCATAGTGTAAAGATGAATTACATCATTCAAACGCTTTTGTAAGTTCCTTAACCCTTTCAGCAGCAAACCTACACATCTCGACCAAAGTAAAACAGCTCGTATATCCACCGTTGTATCTGGGCACAAGAATAGACAAAGTTATAAGTTCCCTGTATCACAGCGGGGGGATTCCGTTCAGGCCATTTGTCGGAATTAACACTCCAAAAATAAAACCCACAAACTTCCGACTTAACGACAACTGTTAAAAAATGTCGCCTAGTCAAACAAAAGCGCGTTTTGGTGGGATACTTTAGGAACATACAGGGTGTAAATTTAGAGTGAAAGTAATAAGCTACGTCAAATTACGATATTTTATATAAACACGCTTTTATGTACTTGGAGGAATAATAAGTATTTGTTTTTTTTTTTCTTAAAAAAATATAAGAATGTGTCTATAACTTTCCAAGAGATAAATTTACTTTTAATTTCTACAATTAACTATATAAACCTTTCATGTTTCGGAAAGGCATGCACAACCTTGACTACATATTGCTGCTTTATGATAGAAAACAAAGAATTTCATATGTATTTGTTTTTAATCTATTCTATTATATTATTAAAGTGATACAATCAAATTTTATGTAAACGGTTAAGGTCATTTACCAAATAAAAATATAGGCATATGGCACATCAAAATGAAGCTTAGAGTGTGTAGATTTGCCGAAAAGTATTGATATGGACGAATTTCCTAAGGGCTCTGCCCCACAGGCTAATTTCCAAAGGGCTACCCCTGGCATATTTCCAAAGTTCAAAATGATATAATTCAATTTAGTTCATGAAACAGCTGGTCAGTGCAATGAATTGGTATTTGTTTATTTACTAGAAAAATGAAGATTGAGGAGGGTTATGTTTGGTTTTAAAGAAAGGTTGTATAAGTTTTGTTTAAGTATTGCTCAAAGTTTTCATTTTGTAATTTATATAGTAAGCTACATGGAAAGAGGCTTGACTAAAATTAAAGAATTATGGTAAAACATGTCATTCATGAAGCAGCAATATGAAGAAATTGAAGCTAAGGTATGTGTCCGTATGGAGGTATGTTCTTTTGGATCTATTAACATCAAAAGTAGGGGTTTGAAAGTAGGATTACACTTTTAAATCAGTTTATATTTTCAAACTAAATCATAGAGTTGCTGTATTTTAAAACACACATCAGCACCACTTGAATAGCTCTCTAGGTCACATTTTCTTCCCGTTGCAAAGCACGGGTATAGCAGCTTGTAAAGCATAAATAGCTATAACTGTTTATCGAGAGTAAACATGTTATTGGTAAAAGAAATCTTCTAAACCACTCAAACGTTGTTAAACTACGTAATAAATTTAGCAGTTTGTATGAATATCATAAGGATATTTCGTTTTATAAGATTTCAGGAGTGAGAAGAGAACACATCGTTTTTACGCTATCTAACCAATACCATTAGATTTATCATCCTCATGGATCAGCTAAAGACAAAAGTCTGTTTACCAAATGAACATTTTTCATAAACCGTTTCCGCCAAGGGGGCCTAAACATTAATATTAAATCTATCTTTCTCATATAACAATTTTGATAAAAACAAAATTTGACTATTTTATATTTTATATATATAATTTTTTATATAATATTTTATAATTTTATATTTTATCTTTCTCATATAAATATCCTCCATACAAATCATATACAAATCACATTCAATTTTTGAAAATTAACTATGTATTTTTTTATGTTTGTATTGTGATATTGTAATATTGCATAAGTAAATCTTAGCTCATTAGCAATGTAAAATTTTTAATCCGAGTAGAGATATCTACATTCTTTTTTTAATATGGCGTATTCAAAATACTGTACTGCAGTACCAATATTGTCACCTCATAACGATCCGCTATTTGTAAACAAAGAAATAGTCAAATTTTGAAACATTCACAAGAGCTTTAATATTATTTCTATTACTGCATAACATATGTGTGTATTTGACAATTGTGCGTTTATAAAAGGCGATTCTCTTGTTTTGGTACAACCTGTATTTAATAACAATTTAAATATTCGTAAGTTATTTTTTAGGGTTGGTTTAAAAGGGAAAATTCTTATATTTAATCATTGTGGGACGAACGGTTTGTCTTAAATCAATAGTGGACACCTTACGTGATTCACCCTGTATATACCACACAGTAAGGTAGGTGTATGTATTCAGTATGTAGAACACAAATGTGTCTACAGGTGATACAACACTATTATTTCAAGGCGACATTCAGCATTCCACTCCACGTGACTCGACTTCTTCACGTGGATCTGATACTACCGATACAGATATTGGCGGGAGAATATTCAATATTGCCGCGCAATTGTGTCTCCATCTCCATTCAATGTCGGTCGTTAGATGCCGAGTAAAAACGTATTGTTCGTAATCTAACACATAAGCCAATAGGACCACGTTATTTGACTATACATATGTATTTTGTCAAGTAGGCCTACTTGTATACATAGTGAACCTTAAAACTCTCGTTTAAAGTTAACTTTCCAATGATGTGCTTAAGAGCAGTACGTTTTCTGTGTTAAGATGTATCAATATTTTAAGAATAAAGTGGGAGTAGGCCTAACCTCTCAATTGTGCTACCCACAGAAAGTTACTCTAAAACGCAGAAATATAACGGTGAACAGTAACTAGGCCTATTCAACAATGTCACACTGAAAGAGCTACCTGTTGTTTCATATATATGTTTTTTTTTACGTATCCATTAGCCATAGTATAAAAAACTAAAATATAAAAGTAGAAATTATGTAGTAGCATACTATAGGAAAGATTCATTAGACTAGAGTATGGTTTTTAGAGTCAAAATGTATCTACTCCTTTTTGAATTTCAAAATCAATGGTTGGTCAAATCCAAATCGAATTCAAACGTAAACATAATATGGATTAATAAAATTCCATATGGATACCATCATAGATAAAACATAGTGACTATGTGACTATGATCTGTGATACTATTTACAGCTAAAACCTTCGAATAAGTATTTTTTAATCAAAAGAAACGCATAGGGGCTCATACTTTACCTACTAGACTAATATTCTTAGCATAAGTTAAAAAAACTTGTGCATTTTTAGTTATAAGTCAAATATAAAATTCATCCTTATGCATAGCTGGTAATTATTAAGACTAAGTGTAATTAAAGTCTTCACCTAATAATTAGGCCACCAATTGCATTCTTAAAAAAGTCACTGCTTTTTGGTGTATCATAATTGGGCCAAGCGGCTTTTAATCGATAATTGGCCCTGTTAAAGAAAAATAGTTTAGTATCAATGCTACACAAGTCCCTGCACTCCATTCTCACTCACTCCAAACTCACATTTGCTGTAATTTAAGCTTATAAGTAGGCCTACACAAAGTGCTTACTTAAGTGAAGCACGTACTATGTTTATAAAGGATACCACACGAAGCGCCTTATCCCTGAAGTCCACCACCTTTATAGGTTCCCCAGGCCCGAGGTAGTCTATCATATGGTGGGGAACCTCCTTCTGTTCCTCCTTTGTCACTTTGTTGGTCACTATATCCAATCCCTTGTACACCTGCAACAGAAGAAAAAAAGGTTCAGAAGTTGGAAGAGAAGCAAGTTTGGAAAGAAATTTATGTTTAAAGATATAGAAGAGGAAGAAATGCACTTTTGCCCAATAAAAACCTCGCTGGTCCGATCGTGCTGGTTTGCGAACTCGTTTATATAAACAACAGGTTTGTACCAAATTACTTAAAACTTGGATCATTCTTACTCGAGTTTTCGTGATAACGGATGTATATATAAATCCGGTTCATTGTATATGTACTGAACTAGTATAGTTGTAGAAAGGTTGTAGTATTTAGAGCTTTGAGTTTGCCACACAAGAAATCAACTTAATTTTTAAACATTACGGATAAAAAGAGTAACGACAATTTAAATAGAAAGATTTTGTAAATTTCTAACATATTCTGTAATTTTCGAAATAATCATAACGAACGATTTCAAGACTAAGTTTGTATCTTAAACCTACACTTTGGTTTTATTACGTAAAATCGGATAATATCCGATATGTAACATCAGATAAGTATTGGATGTTTGTAACAAGAAAATATTTTATCATTGAATTGCATAGTAGTACAGACATGTCATCAATAGCAAAAACTACAGCTAATAATCTGACCACATCAATATTTAACACTGACGCAAATTTATAAACAAATCTTCAACTCATAGTCTATTATTCAACCAATAACACAATTTTTAAACATCCCGCGTAAGATGCACGTTTTTCTACTGCAAGTTACAATGCAACATATGGTTGTAGGCGAGTAAACGTGCGTCGACATGCCACAGTTATGCAAGATGCATACACGTGAAGTCCGTAACAATCTGCAGGTGACAATCCATACCATGTGACCAGCTTCTTATATCAACACTTTTAAATTGCATTTTTTCAAAACGTGACTCATCTCGGGGTTTACTTATGTAAATTGAGTGATTGGATAGATTTTGTTTGAATTAAAGCCTTCCACCACACCACCTGTGAATAAAATAGGGAAATTCGCTTTAAACGATCTTTGCTATCATTACAGTACAGTATTTATCCAATATGTTGGACCATATTAGTTACAAACAACAGGTCAAATGAATACACTTTTACAGGCTGCTCATGTTATCAAGTACTTTTTAAACACCCTGTATTGTTAAAGCATTGACTAAGGAATCACTATATCGAAAAGGACAAGGAAAGGAAACGTGACAGAACGTTTCTGGGAAAGTAGGTATATAGGATACATGATGTTTCTAGATTGCCTTGTTCCAAACATGATGATTGAAACTAGTGTATCTTTTAACAACCATCCTCAAAATTTACTTCTAAACTAAGATTCCGATTGAATTTTATACATCCTCATCAACAAATTTATTTGAAAATCAAGTTTTTATATTCAACCATGAGGATGTATCAAACAACAATTTACATAAAAGAGTACAAGTACATCATTGTGGTTCAGAAAATAATCCTAGCAAACAAGGAGCATCTAAGAACTCAATATGTCGAACCATTGGATACACTCGAATTCCACGAAGTTAGTTGAATCATTTAATGCACTTTCCTAGGTATCGTAGCGCGTAAACATAGATACGAGTTCTACGAGAGTGTTTGCTTCAACAGCCATTATCAGCTATCAATGGGAGGAGCGGTGAGCGGTGCAGGCGCCGTATTTATACTGATATCTGTTATCACTATTTGCATTACTCGCCACTACCGAGAATTGGCGCTGATATCGTCCAATGATTCGCACCCACTTGTTGATTTTCGTATCGGTTGTGGGATGATGCGGGATTTTTCTTCACATTTTCAACCAAGATAGGAAATATGTAGTTTCGGGTTCGATAGTGTAAATTTGCCTGATTTCTGGTTACAAAATATATGACAAGAGATACCTCCCCTTTTAGTGTTTTTGAATGGTTGAACCAACACTGACCCCCCCCCCCCCCCCCCACCGATACATTTACAATTGTCTTTAGCAGGATTACAAATTATGTTTTCTAGGACATAGGTCCTGCGTTATAATCACTATACTAGCCACGCTCCAAAACTAATTGTTAAATAATAAAATAAGGAATGGTTTCTCGAGTGAGGCAATTGTACTTTAAACTCGAGTTGCACATTATACTTTTCCTACAGTTACCATAAAACAAATAAATTGGTGAAGAAACATAACCTATTTTTACACAGAAGTGATCTTTTAATGTAACATTTAATGTGAAGTGACAAATACAACAGTACAACAGTTAACCAGCTGATTTACAGCCAGTGCTGCCAACGTACTTCGCGCGCATATGACGTTGCCTGCATGTTACGCGCTCACTATTTCGTGCCTTCACGTTGCAAATCTGGAGTGAGACAAAGTAATTAGAGTGAGACAATGTTAACATTGTCTCACTGATGAGCGAATTGGCCACTTTGCTTTCTCAAATCAGCGAGAGAACATGTACATTGTTAGGTAACTGTAGGAAAAGGCATTTTACCACAGTGACATACATTAGATATAGCTCAGTAAATGATGAAATAATAAATATTTAAAAACATGTAGGCCTAAAGGTTTTTTGTCCCAGGACGCTTGACTCTAACAAAGGTCGTTTTTCGCGTAACTTCAGACACTTAGGGTTGCAGCATCACGGCTTCGATCAAATCCATTGATGTTATTAGGGATTTGAACCCTTGTCTTCAAAGACCAAAGTGTCGTACTCAACCATCAGCTTGCTCCCCCACGTAGGGTTAAAATGTATAAATTCACGTTGCATACTTTTATACTTTTGTTCACAATTGAGCACCTCTAAAAATTATCTCTACAAACACTTCACATTAAAAAATCTTTCAAAAGTACGATACAACATTTAACAATACTGTATGCAAATCGGGATTTCTCACCAGCTTTAGGGATAAACAGGGTATTTTTTCTCTTCGCGCGGGATACGATTTGAACGCTATGCAAACACAAAGTCTCGCCTATTTGCACAGACAGCGGCCGTCACAGGCGCCTGTCAACGATTGCAAACACTTGGAGTCAAGAGCAAACCATTTAGTTGACAACTCTACTAAGATGGCTGGAAAAACCTGAGTGATTGAAAATGTATACGAAGAATAAGAGTAGAGAAGAGAAGTAAATTATTACTAGTGTTATTTGCATGTGTTCATGTGTCTATTATTAACTGTAGGTTAGTAATGATGTCTGGAAAAGTTTCATTTTTCAATGTGTAATACGAATAATATTACTTTGATCGATTTAATTAATTGTTGCTTTGTTATAATTTTTTATTTACTTACTTTATATTCTATTATTTATTTTTTTTAGACAGGTAACTTAGGGAAAAACATTGATTGACAAACAATCTTAGATAAAACTTAAGATTTTTCGGTTGTATAGTAATTTTCAAATGCGTACAAGAACAGATTTTTTCGCAAATATCCATAAGTTTTCAGAGGGAAGCCATAATTTCCCAAACCCCCTCCCCTGGATTTTTGGCTGCACATAATTATTCAATCAACCTAACAACAATACATTGTCATTGATAAAGTTGAAAGGGGATATTGCAAGCAGTTTAAACATGTTCTCCCATTACAAAGGCCTACAGAACAGATCAATGGAATAATAAAACCACATCAATTTTGAAACAATAGAACTTATTGTTCTAGAAACCTGCATTCAACAATTATATTTCTACCTTCCAATTCTGAACCAGCAATAATCCAACCAAAACGTCAACTACGCAAAACACAAATAACAGAATAACCAATAAAAACACCACGACGCAAACAGGTTATGTTACAATAGCAAAGACGCTGCACCAGCCAGAATTTCACCAAAACGCAATTGCAGAAAGAGCAAATGCAGAGTCAATAATTACGAAAGAATTCGCCTCATTTGACCTCCGCCAGCCGATGAACCTTCGGGATACAAAGTTGGAGTTTGGCACAAAAATGCGCGCGCGGCAGCCAGGTCAGAGGTCGCTGGATTAAATTACACGCTGTCAGCGAATCAACTAACTTTGTGTTAATGGAAGTTGATTTCATTAATAAAAATGCCACGCGAACGTCTGGGTTTCAAGTGCACAGTGTATCTGTTGGGAAATCGTGTTTACTAACATTTAAGTGCTTTTGTGCCAGATACAATGTACCAAATTACAAAGGTGCATTGCATTACGCAAACTAGATTGAAATAATGACAGTCAAGTTTATAAATCTACACAATTCTTAGGAGTAAATGTCTCCAATAAAACATGATAAATACAAAGCAGGGTTTAACGAGAAGAGCTGTATTTCACAAAAAATGGCTCCATCGTTGAACAGGGAGCAATAGAAAAATGTTAGTGCAAATGTTATATATTCAATTTTGTATTTTATAAGATACCGGATGTTTGACTAGTGTTCAGAAGGACACTCGACCATCAAACAAAATGATAGGCTTTTGTTTTTTTTTCAATCTGAGAACTTTTTTTATTATCCTCGATAAAGAAACAGCTACTCTTAAATGCAGGAACAAAACCATCACATCATTCATTTGTCGGCTACCCTTACTCGAATTAGATTTTTTTTAACGGGGATACATTATTTTTAGTAGTAGTGGTGAATCTCATTTTTGTATATACATCAAAAGGGCATATGAATTTTGTGAACAACAAAATTAAATCGTGCGCCTTAGAAAATAAAGCGTAGTATTTTTTCAACCAGAACAAAAAATAGAAAAGTTATTTTAGGGATGTAAAACGTTCCATAATGATCCCTATCCTATGATCAAGATATCCGGGTCGCAAACTAGTTTAAATACATATATGTACACGTTTAACCCAAATTTCGCAAAAAATATGAGAGCAAATATACCTTAGATTGACAATCTTTTGGTTTCTAGAAAACCCTAAAGATGGAATACTGTATATGGTTTTCTGTACTCAGTGCTTCCCTTGAAGTGATAACCCTATAATAGACCAATTCGCTAAAGCAATATTTCTTAAACATATCAATTTCAATAAAAAATTCAATCACAACATCTGCGTCGTTACAAAACAATA